AAGAGAATCGGGCGTAAAACTGAAAAGTTTTCAGTCCGACGGGGGAGGAGAATACACCTCACAGAGGTTCAAGGACTACTTGGTAGAAAAGGGAATCAAGCGGCTCATCTCCCTCACCTACGCCAATCAACAGCAAGGTGTAGCAGAACGGATGAACAGGACACTTCAAGCCACCATGCGCAAGCTGCTACGTGGCATGCATCTGCCCAACCACCAGTGGCCCGAAGCAATGGACCACGCCGTCATGCTGCACAACTTGCTCTCGTCATCATCGCTCCCGAACAACGCATCACCGCACCTGCTGTGGACAGGAAAATTGGGCAACACAAAAATGTTACGAGTTTTCAAGTGCATGGTACATACCGACCACCATCTGCACGCGCCGGTCGATTCTCCCAACGAGCACAGTGGGGAGTACACCTGGGCATCGAAAAACACCACAACGCATGGAAAATCTTCGACATCAACAGCAAGGAAACAGTCGCAGCACGTGATGTAATCTTCTACGAACACCTCACCCTCGACGTTCATCTCGCGTACGTCAGAGCCAACAGACCTGACCTCACGGGCGGATTCACTGGCACCCGAGCCTTCGCCTCGGCAGAAGACGAAGCTGACTGGGACGAGCAGAACGTGGACAGAGCCTCGGAAGAAGCCGGACCTCTTCCCTACTGCCCAGTGGACGTACCAATGGACGACGAAGACCCACGCGAAAGCATCAACGCCGAAGTTTACTACCACTTCGCCGACAACGGTTACGTTACACCTGCTGAAGTCAACACCAACGAAGCAGAACGCGTAGGACCCAACTTCGCACCTGATCCAGAAGCTGGAGACGAAGCAGTCTATCCCGAGGACACCACACTCCCCCGCTACACACAGAGTGGACTCCAAATCCTTGGCCTCGTCACCGCAGTCCACGGCGCCGACATTCCTAAGGAGCCTGCGACGGTTCAACAGGCTCTGGGGGGGGAGCATAGGGAAAAATGGCGCGAAGCCATGGACAGGGTGTCAGAATCCCAGCCACTAACCACTGGGATAAAAGGGCTTGTTTGTGTAGCGGGTGAGTGCGCCCATAACCCTCCAGGCCAACGTGCCTGTAACCCTTCCCTAGGATCAATCGGGGATCACCAGTGGACCTCTGACACCCCCCCGCACTGGGATGCCCGAAGTGCACACACCGGGAATCGAACCCGAGACCTTCGCTCTGATACCATGTCAGAATCTCAGCCACTAACCACTGGGATAAAAGGGCTTGTTTGTGTAGCGGGTGAGTGCGCCCATAACCCCCCAGGCCAACGTGCCTGTAACCCTTCCCTAGGATCAATCGGGGATCACCAGTGGACCTCTGACACAGGGAATTGAAGGCGTTAGAAGAACGCAACACCTGGAAGGTCGTTCCTATCGGCGTAGCACGAAACAAGACCATACTTACCGGAAAATGGGTCTTCCGTGTAAAGACGAAAGCTGACGGCACCATCGACAAATTCAAAGCACGCTGGGTCGTGCGCGGCTTCGACCAGGAGCACGGACGTGACTTCACCGAAACCTTCGCTCCGGTCAGCCGCCACACTTCACTGCGAATTCTCCTCGCGATCGCCGCCATGAAGAAAAAGAAGCTGCGACAAATCGACGTCGCAAATGCTTTTCTCTACGCACCTGTTGACGCAGAGATTTTTGTGGAGCTACCACACGGCTCCAACACAGACTCCACGCATGTCTGCCAGCTGCTAAAATCACTCTACGGGATCAAACAGGCCCCGCGACTATGGCAACAGTACCTACACGCTCGCCTCATCCGCATCGGCTTCAAGCAACTCCCACACGATCAAGGGATGTATCGCCTCACGAAGAACGACGACTACGTTCTACTAATCGTCGGCATCACTACCTGGTTCGAAGGGGAGCTGCAGCAAGACCTCACACTCACGGTCTCGCCTACCGTCACTCAGTACCTCGGCCTCAACATCCGAGAAGAAGAAGACGCGATCTACCTCAGCGCCGAAAAGTACGCCGACACCATCGCCAAACGCTTCGGTCTCACGCCGGCCGCGATCTCAACACCATACCGCTACACGACAGGAACCGACAAGGGAAAATCCACCTCACTCAAACCCGCCGGCGTACGCGACTATCAGAGGAAGCTAGGATGTCTCCTCTTCGCAGCTGTTACCTGCCGTCCCGACCTCTCATACTCCGCAAGCCAGCTCGCCACCTACCTCAAGAAGCCCGAAACAGAGCACCTGGCGGAGCTCGACCGAGCTCTTCACTACTTCATCAGCACCCCGACGATCGGCCTAACCTACCACAAGAACGCAACCGCACCAACCAAGCTAATCGGCTACGTCGACGCCGATCACGCCGGCGACTCCGACAACAGGCGCTCACGCACCGGCTACGTTTACCGCCTCGAACCTATCGGTCCTATCTCCTGGCAGTCGAGCAAGCAGGAGTTAATCGCGCTATCTTCAGCTGAAGCAGAATACATCGCACTCTGCTCAGCCACCAAAGAAGGCCTTTATCTTCGCGAACTGCTGGAAGAAGCAAAGTTGGCTGAGTTACCCAGCTTCACCCTGTTCTGCGACAATCAATCAGCAATTCGCATCGCCAACAAAAACGGCTTCGCGAACAGGACGAAACACATTGCCCTGCGCTACTTCTTCGTGAAAGACGAGATCGAGAAGGGGAGACTTCAGCTGTCATACTGCCCCACGTCCGAGATGGCAGCCGACTATTTGACCAAGAAGCTCGGAAAGCAGAAGTTCGAGTACTGCATGCTGCTGACTGGACAGGGCCACGTCATCAGCAGCGACACTCCAGAAGCGAAGGGGAGTGTTGGAAACAGTAAATCTTAAGCGCTTCAGTCGTGTCGAAACATCGCACCAGAAGCGAAGCAAGCAGTACCGAAACAAACGCGAGTCAACCCTCGGAGGTTGAGAGGTTGCTGGAGGTTACGCGAAAGTCAAAGGTCAAGCGACCTTTGACCTGACAAATACAGCGCGACAGTTAAGGACACACAACTGACTCGTTACAGAGCAGTTGCCCGAGTCGTACTGTATCGAACCGCAACAGCAACAGTAAAGTAGTTACAAACTGCATCCTTTCATATTCCCTGTATTACTATATAATCTTGTACTTCCTTGCTATAATTAATCTACTTTGCCCTCACATACCAGCGCAAGGTGGTTCATAATCTTTCGTCAAAGCTTCCGCTGTTACAACACTATCCTACCCAGAGTTCTCCCTTGAAAAGATCCTAAGGGGCTATCTCAGCCCAACACGTAATAGGTTGCTTCGCAACCCAAAAAAAAAAAAAAAAAAAAAAAAAAAAAAAAAAAAAAAAACACACACACACACACACACACACGGTCCTACGGACCTACTGCTCTGATACCATGTCAAAATGGGAGGCTAGAATGGACTGCATTGAATGAATTGTGAGTACAAGTACTAACCCTAACATTGGGTTGTACCCCATATGGGCTATCCCACTACAGCCTACACAGAACTAGCACAAATATATTTTGACATAAACGCCTCCGCTTCTTCGAGATTCTCTCGAACAGATGCGTGTGGCCAATATTGGCCACATTTCTTATGAAGAGGGAGATGGGGGAGACGAGGGGGTAGGGGGGATAATCCCAACTCTCGAAAATGCACCGATTTCATCGGCACCGATAATGCCCCAGTCGCCTTCGGCCTTTCCTATCTAGATTAGTCTGCTATATTATCACGTTCCATTAATTGTAGTGTGTGTCCTGAATGCCACATTTTCGTTATTCGTTATTCCGTGCAATTACCGCATGCTCAACAACTTTTAACAACTCCATAAACAGCTGAGTATCAGTTTGGAGCAACTAATGCAACTTTCCTGCTACAGTTTCGTACCCCTCAAAACAGTTTGCGCGGTGAAGTGACACAAAGGGGTGGAAAGGGTCAACACGCTGGTTCATGTCCACCCAAAAGTGACTTCCATGATTCGGGCATCAGCAAATGCTGTCGGGGTCCCTGTTGGTGCCTTCACGGCGTTGACAAACGTGTCGCTCCTCCCAGTGCTATTGGTGCACTCTGTTCATCATGTGTAAGTGTGCCGCGATACTGTTTCCTGATCACACATCATCAGGCTTATCTTCTTCCTGAATTCCGGCAATTTCCTTCGGAAGACGTGGCCGACCGGAATGTTTCGGGCTTCAAGATTTTGCACCAGAAGTACTGTACTTGAATTCTTGAGGTTTTATTCATGGGATCGTGTAGAGAAACGAAAACAGCCCCGCCTTTAAAAATTGCATTTGCAGGAACAATGCATCCCCCCCACACACCCCCCTTGTGCATCTGTATTGTGCTTACGTACGGTTTTGGCCAGAACGAAAAATAATACGCGGACTAGTGATTGGCAGCCTACAGAACGAAATTTCTGGCATGTGCTTCCACCCTGGCCAATCTAGCATCCAGGAGCAGGAAACCTCCTGATTTCACGGCTGGGCTCCTGCAGATCAGACGAATCAGGAGGTTTTGTTACTGCTTCTACGGCACCCACCCAGCTTTGTGAGCCTCGACCACATGTGGGCATGGGCACGCTGGGTGCGCTAAACAGAGGAAATCCTCGCAGGCGCGGTTTTCGCTCGGGTCAGGAATGGATCGACGGTCACCATTTGCTGAATGTGACGATCCATCGGTGATCAGGGGTAACAGCACCCTATGTCGGGGCACCTCCATGGTTCGGAAGAAGCCCCGTCGATCGAGAAGGCTCTGCTGCTGCTTGGAGTGTAGCTTGTCTTCCAGGGACTAGTGCCTTGTCCAGGAATGCTCCGCTTTCAGGCTGATGAATTTGCCCTGACAGCGCCATTGTTGCACTTCTCTCACTGGAATCAGGCAGAATTGACAGCAGACACTAATGTGAGGTTCTTCATGCATTCCGATTCTACATTGTCAACATGAAGGGCTCATTCGAGCACTTCCTCAGTAGGGACATCTCTCAGTAGTTTTCGGGGGCTACAGCAATGGCCTCTGTAAGCGTGCCATTTCTTCAGTTGCCGTGCATTGACGCTGCCAGCATTGAGGGAAATTCAGAAAGTACCACCTCCAGGTTTCTTAACATGGCTTCTTCCAGAGCCAAACCAACGTCAGTACATACCGATTCTCAAACTTCTGATCAATGTCCTGCACCACACCCTCCTCTTAGACATGTTTCTACCGCATCCGTCCCTCCATTACCACCGTCGCTTCAGCAAGGTCTGTCACAAAAAGCTCTACACAAATGGGAGGTCAATCCCATGCGTCTTCAGAGCCAGTCTCCACCTCTTTCGCCAGCCATCCACCCCCTGGTGGTCAGATCGTCGTGCTCGTTATCTCCCCACACTCCCCCCGTTCCGAAGTTCGCGAGCGGTGTTACGGCTCGACAATGTGGGGACTTTAAAGCCACCAACCGTTTTCTTCAGTCATCAAATGCAACTGCTAGGGATTCCACCTCTCCAGCTGTGTTGGAATCCTCGAAAGCGGATGACCGTGAAAACGGAAAGCTCGACGCTTGTGTCACTACAAGGTAAATGCTCGTTCTGTTTCTCTATTCCCTCTTATTTCATTGTCTGAGGGCTACATTATACAGGAGAGATTAAATGCTGCTCTTCTGTCTTTTTGTTTAAATGGATGGCAGCCCAAACTCAAAGCGCAAGCGAGCAGCGGAAGGGATCAATCCTGGCTCAACCATTCCTTCTGAAAACTCCAGACATACAGGCCTTGCCATATCAACCAATGACATGCAAACTTTTTATTTGACCGGGCTGGACGCTGCTGTCCGTGATCAACCCGTACGTCATCTTGCATTACTAATTTCATTATCTCAACATAAGTATAGATTCGAGTCTAATCTGCCTTTTTATACATCTTGCAGACTGCTTCTGGAGTATTCGAGAGCAATGTTAATGCCTCCTTGATTTCTCCGTCAAGTGCTAAAAAGCTGTGTAGCCAGCACGAGTTTCATGCGGGACTGTCCAATACGACGGAAACACGGAGTCCTGTTACGACAGCTCGCGGAAGTGGAAATTCGACTGGACCCTCGGAGTCTCAACGAAGAGCTCTCTTTTCCTCAGATCACAGCCAAGCTCTGTCTAATATTCCGTCGTCACCATTGACCATGACCATGACCCCATCTTCTGACAAGTTTCCCCGCTGCGTCTCGAATAACGAGAGTCCTCTCCAGCGCTCCGTGTCGTGCTATATTATGACCCCCGTAAAACCTCCAGCATCTCCCCGCTCGCCTAATCAACTACGAAAGTCTGGGAGTTTCGGAGTTGCTTCCTCCCCGCGATACGTTCCATTGGCGCCTCGAATCAAAGCGTCACCTCCTTTGACTCCATCGTCCGTTCCGTTATTCCACGGCTCTCCTGTCATTCCTCCTGTCGGCCAGAGAGCTGCGAAGATATTTGGCTTGATGGGACTGAATGCCTGTGCTAGCCCCTCTCTTACTGCTACCAACAGTCACTGTCACGTGAATGCTGCACCTTTACCGCCCTCGCCGTTGCTGACTAAGTCACAGAGTTACTCCGTTACGCTCTCTCCTGGCAAGGGCGTAATGCAGCAGCGCAAGGGTGTGATCACAAGAAGTTTAAGCGATCCTCGCCTCATTCTCACCCAGGACTCTCTTCCTCCGCCGAAACCCACACAGCATTCTGTTCAGGGAGAGCGTCAGTCGCTTCCGTCGCCTGGTGGATGGACTCTGCAACAGAGCAGTTCCACTACATGTTCGCCACATGTGCCATCGCACCGACAGCTTCGATCTCCTGCGACGCTTCCACTGCCGCCCCCAGCCCATCTTGTCCAAAGTCCAAATTCTGTGGCGCAGCATTCTCCTCAACTGCGCGCTTACCCATCCACAAGTTCCCCAGGCCGCTGTTCGTCTCCCGTGGGCCCTGGTGTACACACTGGGCTTGGATGGGTGGATCGGCTGTCCGACATTGCGAAGCAGAAGGCCAACGCCATGGCCGCAGTCTCCAACTGTCTGATGCCGACAAGGGTCATAACGGGATTCGGAAGCCAACCCCTGAAAGATGCAAGTCCGTCTTGCAGCCAGGCACGGGTTGACGTCGCATCAAATGTTCAGGTTGGGCAGACGATGGTGATCCAGAATGGTTGCTGCCAGACAATGCCAGCAGCAGTCACGGGTCGTCCAGTGGGGTCATCTGGGATGGCAATGCAGGGCGCGTGGGCTTCTGGGAAAGCCTCTCCAATTGAATCTCAACCTCTTAAAGGAGGGTATGACACCCTCACACAGCCACGACAGCTGCCACCGTCACAAAACCTTAATCTGGATCCACGTAGTACTGACCAGCAACAACAGCCCAAGTCTTTTCAGTCACCTGAACAGCAGCAGGGCCAGGATCAGCAACTCTCCAGCAGCCAAGAAGACATGAGACTCCTGCCACCAACAGAGGTTATGCAGCAGATGCAACAGCTACAGTATTCCCAGCAGCCTTCACCGACGGACGCTCATCAGCCAGTTCTTTGTCAGCACAACGCCTATCAATACCGGCAGCAGCAGGAGCAGCAGCAGCAGACACGGCAGGAGCAGCAGCAGCAGGCACAGCAGGAGCAGCAGCAGCAGGCACAGCAGCAGCAGCAGCAGCAGCAGCAGCAGGAGCAGCAGCGGGCACAGCAGGAGCAGCAGCAACAGCAGCAGCAGGAGCAGCAGCAGCAACAGCGACAGACCATTTTGTGTGGCAGTCCGAGATCTCCTCGGCCAGACGTGCTGGGGAATGCTGTTAACATAGTGCCTCCGCTGATGAACGCCGCTCCTGCACTTGACCTCCCTTCTCATCCTGCGCGTGCTTTCACTCACATGGATTGCTCTGTGGGTATGAAGAAATCAGAGTCAGTATGCGACAGCTCTGCCACTTCAGTGCAACATGCTCCTGTTCCACTTCCACGTGCATCAACTGCTCCTACAGCTTCACATACAGCTAGTTTTGACCACTATACGAGCTCTATTCTTCTTCAGCAAAACGGCCACTTTCAAGGAGGAACGGATCCAAGCTCAGAGCAGCATCTATCACCAGGAAACTTCACCAATCTGCTACCTTATAGCCATGCAGGGCTGCTAACTAGTGATCACCTGAGTTCACCCCACCGGCTTACAGCAGACCTTGACTACTCAATTGCCTCGCCAGTTCACGACATGGATGGCGCCACCTGGACTGATGCAGGTCTTGCTACAGTGCAAGAACTGGAGCTGCAGGAGCTGGAGGTACTGGAATGGCTACCTGACAATGACATTGAGGCTGGCGGTTTCTTTGACAACATTGACCATGGTCTGGTACAGGCAGGGCTTGAAGGCCACATGTCTCTGCCTAAGGACGTCAACACTGCCAATGATCTGGACCAGGAGGAGAGTGCAATAGAGCTGGAGCCGCAACAGTTAGCCAACGCAGCAGTGGTCGCCAATGATGATTCGCTGCTTCCTTCCAAACTGCCTGAAGCTGGTCCCGATATCACTGCGATTGAACCAAATGCTGCAGAAGTGAGCTGTCCTGCAGTGGAACCAGCTGCAGAGTGTCCGGTGATTGTGGAAGGAGAGACAACAGGGAGTGGCAATGCACTGAGTGGTTCTGTTCATCCTGGTTCCACATCAGAAGTGCCTGTCGTGGTGAAGGGTGGAGTTCAAGGCATTTTTGGTGGAAGTGCCAAAGAACAGGATGAGATGGCAAGTCTCAAGTGCACTGAGGATGTGCAGCTCTGGTGCCCCATGGAGTACTGATTCTGAAAAGCCAACAGACAACCACAATTCTAAGCTTCAACTGCGGGAGCAGGGACGGCAAAAGGATACAGCACATGACATAACACTTCTCTGGCAAAACTTCTGAATCTGGTTACTGAATGACACTAGTACTTTTCTGCCAACATTAATTCCTAGCTATTGTGTTAGACAATAAAGCTATTTGTTTGGAATTTGATGGCGTGGTGCTGAATGTTTACCAAGGTTCTTGTGCCCAACTACCATGACATGCCTAAAATGCCTCTATTTATCAGCCACAGAACAAATACAGCAAGAGAAATTTACATAGACCTGACTACATGCCCTAGCAAGCTACAAGGTTCTATTTGTTGTCAATTGAGGTAAACCACGACATGGCAACTGCAACAGCAGGATCCAAAATGTCCTTTGAAACCAGGCGGAACACCGCAGGGCCGTTCTTCACCTTGGTGTATGCAGCAACCTCAATTCCCCGCGACCCATCCGCCTTCTGCTTGTACAGGCGGATAGAGTTGCCAACCTTCTCCTTGATCACCTCGATCATGGACGCCCCCATCTGTGCTTTCTCCTGACTGAACGTCTGTAACAGACAATGGAAGGCATGCAAAAGAAAAAAGTATATATGGAGTCACGTCAGTTTTTCTTGGCTTGGGGGGGTTTAGACGTGTGAGTAAGAATGTGGACAGCACACATGAAGTGAAGTTCACAGGGCCCGGAAACAGGTGCATACGTTCTGAAGCTGACTTACCCGAGGTGCCACGTCCATAAGAGTCTCAGAGTAGTTAACTCCCACAGGACGCCCGTTGGACCATAGACGTGCCTCCGTGGCGTTGCCGAAGCGCGCGTATGACTTGCCCTCTTCGTGCCACGAGTTATCCCTCGACTCGCGCACGAGCATCATGATGAGCTCGCCCGTGGCGCCGTTCTGGCGGACACACGGCATGGACGGGAGTAGGTTGGCGGAGTTAGACCGAAGACATGACTTGCGCATACAAAACGAGCGCGGCGGAGTGATTCCATATGCAGCCCCAGACGAGGGAATGAATGAAGGGACGAAGTTCTAAAAGCAAAGAGCTTACAACCGCAATTGTTGACCTTCCAAAAATACTCGGTACTTTAGATTGGTGCATCATCACTTTCTTTCTGGCAGTTGGGTATATAACCTAACTCTCGTACTGTTCCACTGGCCGTACACTGATCTCGTACCTTAACATACGCAGTGTGCGACGAGCTTTTGTATTCCAGCGTCAGAAACGCAGCGCCCTGAAACGGAAGTGTCAACAAAGGAGGGAAGAGATAGAGAGACGAGAGAAATAACCAGTTGGTTACGGATTCTTCGCAAAGGTGAGAGATGACAAGAGAGACTAGACTGTGCTCGCTTTGTGGCGTTTCATGGTGCCATTATCAACAGCGCAAGCTCTTTGTCAGTAAATTGGAAACTGGACCTGCAGTGGAACCAACAGCGAGCCCACCCGGAAACACACCTGAGAAACCACCTGCGGACCCACCTGTGAACCCAGAAGCCCCTCAGCTGAAAGATCGCCGGCATACACGGAGCTGATTCCACGTGCCGTCACAACGGAAAACGAGTCTCCCGATTCACTGTAACGAAAGAGGTTGGGAGAAAGGGGAGGAAAGTGAAGAGCGAGCAGGATTAATGAGGCGAGGGTTCAGCAAGCAAGCGATAAGGATGGATAAGTGCTGGCGCTGCCAATAAGTCAAACCGAAACGACGTAAGGCAACCGATTCTGCGGAATGAAGTCGCCTCGCTATTCAGAGCTCTGCAAAAGATAATCGATTCCGAGATAGAGCGGAATCGCATCGTAGAGACGCACATACACCTCACGCCCATCCAGGGACGTCATTTTCATAAGAACAGTTGTGCTCGCCGAGGTAAGCTGGTAATAAATAGGAGAAGGATGAACAAAGGTTTGTAATAGCTGGGAGAAAATCGGATACATACAGCATAGCATCGCTGATGCTGGTCGCTATCGTTGAATCGACGCGTAATGTCCTCGCCTGTTCGATGTACTTCTTGGGTGACTGCTTCGTAATAAGCTTAAACATGGCGTCTGCGCTAGCTTTGGAAAGTTGAGGTACAAGTAAGATTCGCGGTAGACGTGTGATGATTTCGATAAACTTGGTGGATGCGAACGCGAGTGAATTCCGGAGTTGGAATAGCAACGAAATAAGAGACTGAAAGCTGAATGCAAGGAGTGTGGTGGTCTGGGTTCTTTGTGATGTGAACAAAATAAGATGCACATGAAGCGAAGGGGCTAGGCTGGGCGCTGGACTGGAGTGGATCGGGCACGCCGGGTCGCAGGAACCCTTCTCCCAACGGAACAGAAGTCACAGAACGACGATGAGCGGGGGGCACACCCCCAACGGAACGGAGCGCAATTTACACAAACGTTTCTGCTCTGCCCACAAAGTTTAGGCAGACGAGTTGCGGCATATGATTTGCTTCGCAAGCACAAGTCGAACGAGCCGCGCGGCTGGTCAAAGTGATCGATTGCGTAGTGTCAAGGTTGCATGAGGGGAGAGTGGTTTTGAGGGGGAGGGGGGTGGGTGGTGTGTGTGGGGAGAAAGAGAAGGGAAGGGGGAGGGAGGGAGGTCCTGTTTGTGTTTTTGTTGGTTTTTTTCTCCCCGCGAATTTCCGCAGTCGTCAGCAGAACGAGACCTTTTGCTGTGGTGCCACATTTCCACTTCCGCGCACTGGGATCCGTGGGAGTGACGTGGTCTGCACTGGTTTGCGCGGATTTCGCTGAAGGAGGGATATCCACGACGAGTCGCAATCGTAAACTTTTTTTAAGCGAACGGACCGCCTTCCTGTCTGCTCTTGCAAGAGCCGTGCGCTGTCGATGGTGTGTGTCATAAAGTTTGTCAGTGATTTTTTTCCAAGCTCTGCTGCCACGCGTCTCATTTCCGATCTGTTATTGGCTGAATAGGGCCATTGCTGGGGTGAGACACACCGTCACCGCCCGCAAATGTCACAGTTTGACTAGGCAGTGTAACTCACGCAGTACAATCACCATCGAAGCGGGCATTCTGTAGAGAGGATATTCATAAACAGTTGGCTGAATTGTGAAATTGAACTGAAATCTTTATTCCTTACCATTATATCGGTACCAATGTTCACAGCTAAACAACCAACTGCAATTTCAAACAGCACATTTAGAAAGCTTGCTTTCTTGTGTTTGCAATGGCAACGTGCTTCGTTTCAAATGGCAACGTGCTTCGTTTCAAATGGGCATTACAACATTCTCGTCCGGCTAAGTATACATACGGTACCTACATTACAACATGCAGTTTTTGCTAGGGTGGGTGGGTGGGAAATAATGCAGTTGAAATTTCAAATGAAGACGTGGGTGGAGGCCAAATGGCCTCCACCCCCTGCTATATAGTTGGCGAAGAGCGTCTAGCACTTCGCGGTTGCCATTGTTGAGATAGCTAGGCAAGGTGAAGTTGACTATCGAGAGAAATTTTACAAGTAGGAAAACCCTAAGGGGTTATCCCCTATAACATCTACCCCACTACAGCCTACCAATATGTATCACACATATATATCATTTGACACACCCCATAGGCAAAGTGGGGGAGAGCAACGGGTCACAAGACCAGTCAAGAGAAACAAAACAAGCTCAGGGTGGATCACAACGTCACCACACATTCTGAGCACAAGCAAATGGCCACAAGGCCAGTTCACATGCAGAGATATATATGCAGCAATGACAGTACAGTGTCGAGCTACCTAGCAAGAGCCAGCATGCAGGTATATATGTATATAGATCACAGTACAAGCAAAGACTACAGCAAGTGTGGAAGCGTAGGCACAAGGCCTAACAGAGTACAAAAGCGCTGATGATCACCAGACGGAAGTGCCTTGGTGAATATATCAGCAGTGTTGGCCCGAGTGGCCACGTAACGAAGACAAAGCTGGCCTCGCTGCTGCAACTCTCGAGCCAGGAAGTAACGCAGAGCAATGTGCTTCGTTCTGTGCTCCAGTCTGTGCTCCTCACACAAGGCAATGGCGGCCTTGTTGTCAACGTACAGCACTGGAGGAGAACGAGGCTGCTCTCCCAAGTCAGTCAGCAGGTAGGTGAGCCAGCGTAACTCCTGTGCAGCCATGGCGGTGGCGTAGATCTCAGCCTCACAACTGGAGCCAAGAACTGAAGACGAGCGTGTAGAACGCCACGAAACTGAACCAGAGCCAAGGCTGAAGGTGTAACCCTGTGACGACCGCTGAGTAGCCAGGTCGTCAACCCAAGAAGCGTCTGAGTGCCCAGTGAGGACAACTGGGCTCGTCCCTCCAAGCACTAGCCCCATGCCTGATGTGCTGCACAAGTAGCGCAGTACCCTCTTAGCAGCAGCCATGTGCTCAGGTCGGTGTCGACCAGGAGCCACGTAGCGAGCGAGGAGACCAAGAGGGTACGCGAGGTCAGGTCGAGTGCAAGTCATCAAGTACATGAGGCAGCCGACTAGCTCTGGGTAAGGACCACTCGGCTCTACGGACTCGTCCGAAGGTGGAGCTGAGAGCGTGTGACCTGTAGCCAGAGGAGTGGCCTGTGCTGAAGACCAGGTGAAGCCGAAGCGCTGAAGGACCTGCTGCACCATGTGTGACTGAGTCAAGGTGATGGTGCGGCGTGCTCTGTCCCGGGTGATCTGCAAGCCAAGGTAGCTGCGCAGCTCACCCAAGTCAGTGCACGTGTGTCTCTTCTGTAGCTCCGACTTCACGTGGGCGAGAGCCTCAGTGTTAGCAGTGGCAAAAACCAAGTCGTCGACGTACACGAGGATGTAGAACGGCGGCAACGAAGTGTCTGTGCGCAGAAACAGCGACGGGTCAGCAGTAGAAGGCGCAAACCCAAGAGCCGCAAGTGTCGTCCTCAGTGTGTCGTGCCACTCACGTGGCGCCTGGCGGAGACCGTAGACCGGCCGTCGGAGGCTCCACTGGGTGCCAGGAGGGAACGACCCAGTGAAGCCCGGGGGGCGGCGCAGCCAGATCTCCTCGTGCAGGCTGCCCTGTAAGAAAGCAGTGCTGAAGTCAAGAGAGTGAAGCTCGTAGTCACGGTGAGCAGCAACGTGCAGCAGCACCCGAAGAGTGGTCATCTTCGGGGTGGGGGAGAAGGTCTGGAAGAAGTCAATTCCCTCTCGCTGACTGAAGCCTCGAGCCACGTAACGCGCCTTGAAGACAGGCGGAGAACCCGGCGGCCGCTTCACCCTGAAAATCCACATGCCACTGACGATGTTCGCCCCAGGTGGGGGAACCTCGTCGACATAGGTGCCTGTGGACTTCCAGGAAGCCATCTCTGCGTCCATGGCTGCCTGCCACTGAGAGGAGTAGGGACTCTCTATCGCCTCTGCGTAAGAGCGCGGAGTCGGGATGTCTGGTGCATCCGGGTCTCCCTCAGGGGCAAGTAGCGAGGACACAAGATGAGGTAAAGCAGCAGCAAGACACTGGAACTCCTCCTGCCTGTCCTCAAGGACGTCCGTGCTAAGAGCACACTCACCCCCGACGGACGGAGGACAGACAGACGCAGACTCAGTAACAAGACCGGCGGCGTAGTCTAGACGACAGGCAGCAGCAAAGTCAACAAGCTCAGCGACAAGAGCAGACGCAGCAGTAGACTCAAACGACGGGTCAGTGACAACAGTGGCTAGCAGACGCGTGACAGTAGGGTGCTCAGCACGAAACCGGTCAGACTCAGGGTCTGGAACGTCAGGTAGAGAGGACGCAGGAGGAGACGGAAGAGGAACAGGCTGCAGAGCAGAGGAAGGACGACGAACTACGAGGTGTGTGCTGGGGACAGCCTGCTGACGCGAACGAGGAACACGACGACCGGGACGAGCAGGCGAGACAGGACGCGACACAGGCTCACGACGCTCAGCAGGACTACCAGTCTGCTCAGTGTAAGGAGAAGGAGCAGGCAGCGGTGAGCTAGGCTGTAACGGAAGACCAGTAGACGACGGGAGAGTAAGAACCTGACGAAGAACAGAGTCAGACGGCGGCAGAGACGACGGAGACGGCGGAGCGAAGAACAGTCGTGTCGGCGCAGCTGCATCAGTACCGGCAGCTCCAGCAGCTCCAGTACCCCCAGCAGCTCCAGTACCTCCAGCAGCTCCAGAACCTCCAGCAGCTCCAGAAGCTCCAGTCCCAGAGTCGTCACCTCCAGTCCCAGTGTCTCCAGCCCCTGTGTCTCCAGCAGTAGCACCCCCAGAACCAGCACCCCCAGTCCCAGGGTCTCCAGCCTCAGTGTCACCAGCAGCAGCACCCCCAGAGCCAGCACCTCCAGTCCCAGGGTCTCCAGCCTCAGTGTCTCCAGTACGAGTACCTCCAGAACCAGCGACTCCAGCACCTCCAGTAGACAAAGGTCCAGCACCACTCCTAGCTCCAGCAGCGCGACGCTGACGGTGACCGTACCAGTCCTGGAGCTGCTGTGGGGTGAGAGGCACACGTGGACGAAGGCGGCTACTCCAAGGAGACCGCGCAACAGCAGACTCAGAACCCTCAGCACCAGCACCCCCAGCTGCTCCAGAACCTCCAGCGCCAGCACCCCCAGGCTCCTCACGCGTAGGCTCAGTACCCGCAGACTCGGCACCCGCAAGCTCAGCACCTCCAGGCTCCTCACGCGCAGGCACAGCACCCTCAGACTCGACACCCCCAAGCTCAGCACCGCCAGGCTCCTCACGCACAGGCACGGCATCCCCAGACTCCGCACCCCCAGGCTCAGCACCTCTAGGCGCCTCTCGCTCAGGCTCCGCACCCCCAGGCTCAGCACCCCCAGAGACAGCACCCCGAGCAGGACCACCTCCAGCAGGACCTGAGTCACCAGTGACCTCAACAGGCGCAGGTACCGGAGGGTCTACCTGAGAAACACCTGAAGGAGCAGGACCTGGCGCGGGGAGGGGGTCTACCTGGGGAGGACCTGGAGCGAGAAAGAGCGGCGGGGGGGGGGCGAGAGACAGTGCGGTAGGGAAAGAGACGGTAGAAGGGAACAGACTCGTCAAAGGTGACGTCCTGAGACGCAAAGACACGGCGCGAGGTGGGGTCGTAAAACTGCCAGCCAGGC